TATAGTTTAACTCCACGGGCACATCAAAGAGAGCAGAGGAGCCAAATGCAGCACCAGGAAAAGCACGGGCAAGATACTCTGCTCCTTTCGCAGCACTTTATATTATTTTTTAGGGACGCATGAAATCCTGCTAGTATTTTTAACACTCCCCCTTTTCTTCCCCCCCCATTCTCTTGCTCAGATAGATCAGCTCCTTTTGTCAGGATGAGTTTAAATCTGGGTCCACTGTGTTAATCACCCCCCCTTTCTTCTCTCTGGCACTTCCCCTCCAGGCATTTTGCCTCTTTTTTAGGAGATTAAGCTCCCAAGTCATCTCACTGCTCTAACATGTCCTCGCCGGAGCAACACATTAACACAACTCCACTGCAAAAGAGCCCTCTTTAGAAGTTTGCTGCGGGGATGACAAATTAACCCAGCATGGTGTCCCACACATCTATCTCGGTACAAATTATTAGTGTAATAGAGCTTTTAGTTATGCATTTATCTAGTAATTATTGAACGGTTCTACAGAACGGAGCTGAGCAATCGCGGCCCTTTATGAGGCGAGCGCGGTGGGTGGTCTTACAGTTAATTTAGGATGGGACTGTCTAAGCAGCTCACTCACACACAAATTAGCCGAGCAGCCTGCTCCTTTAAATATTTCCTATGTCACAGGCTAACTCCTGACAATACAACAAAGGTAGAGTTTTAATTACACGGTTCCTGACTTTTGTTTAGCTGAGGCTTTAACCCTTTTCTGGCCTCCCTCTCTGCCCTCCCTGCCCRGGGTGCGGCAGTTTGGGGATGGTGTCGTGGCTAAAGCCTGACCTTGAGGCCATCTGTCAGGAAACTGCTTTTCCTTCAGCACTTCAGGCTCTCCAAAGTGAGTGCAGAAAATCAGAACTTTCCTCCCCCTGCCCACTCAGCTGTCCTGACGCTGCGAATGGATCACGCAAACTCATCTGATGGTCACCTCAGCTCCCTTGCCCTTGTGGTGTGAGTGTGTCCCTTTGGCTCTCTGACATCGCCACCCCTTGCTCTTGACCCTCAGAGGGGTCTGTGTGGAGCTGCACCACTTTTTTTTGTCAAAATTCCGAGGGAAGTGGAAGGTTACAGCACTGTGCCAGCTGCCAGCAATGASCAGCCACGGACACTTGCACAGAACACAGTGTCACAAAATGTCTTTTTTACACTGGGAACGGTCACTCTGACTCCTGGCTGACAGGACAGCGAGCAGGCATCAAGACTTTGGTGACCCAGTGCAGGATTCTGACAGAGAAGGACACAGAATCTTTCCAGATATGTGACACAGAGGTTTGGCTGCTTTGGCGTGAACAGAGAGTGATGTGCTGCTTCCCTGGCAGGCCTTGTCCTGATAAAAGCCTAAATGGCAATGGTAATTATGGAGGAAATTAATATAATGGAAACCGAGTTGACTTTCATCCCTTCTTCTCACACACCCAGTTCCTTGGGCTCTTGCCTTCRTGCTGTATTTCTTGCTTCTTGTAATTGTGTTTCTCCTTCATTTATCTTCCTAACATACCATTTCATTGTTGGGTTTTTTTTTTTCCTTTCCTTGCCCTTTCTCCCTTGCTTTTTTGGCTTGCAGGATCCACGCTGTCATATTCTATGGGAATGCTTGAATGCTCTGCAGCTCAGGCTGCTGGACATCCCGGCTTTACAAGATCGTGGTCAATTTAACGTTTCAGCCAGCTCCAGAGTCACCAGAGTGTAAGCAGCAATACAAGGAAGCTTAAAAYCATTTATGAAAATGCTGCTGTGACCCATGGTGTTGAAATCCTTTGCTGTCTGGTGAAGAGTTCAAGTGGTCTGGGAAGTTCTGTGAGATGCCAGCAAACTGTGATGGCTTTGCAGTGCTGTGGTGAGCTGCACTGACCACCAGATAACCTCATGTGCAGGTAACAAAAGTGTGATGAGGAGGAGAGAGATCTGGCTGCTCGAATTTTCCAAGCTTTGAAGTAAATTCTAAAACTGATAGTGATGCTAAAGCCACCCTATAGGTGATCAATTTACCATCTGCCAGACACTGAATCCTAACCACGCTGGTCCAGAGAAGACATATGGTGCATTCATAGAGTCATGCCCAAAAAACTGCCATCATCAAGCGAGGCTCCATGAATCACTTTGCTAGCTTATCACCAAAGAAACTTGGATCTTGCCACCATCTGTTGGAAGCGCTGAGGAGTCACTGAAGCATTGGCATCCCCGCGCCAGTGCTCGCTGCACATCTGGTCCGCTGGTCAGCCAGCTCGGATCCTCRCTCCTGGCTACTGCCCAGCTGGGCYGGGCACTGGCAGCAGMACCAGCGAGGAGAGGAGTGGGTGCACAGCCTTCCACAGCTCTGCACATCCAGAAAATCCCATGGGAGCAGAGATCTTCCAGCGGCTTCACCGCGTGGAGCAGCTCAGAGCTACGAAACCCTCTCAAGKATCTTCGCTTTGTTTCCAAAGTGGCTCACAGGAACTCAGAACTCTGGGACAGCCCAGCGTTGATGTGTGGTGCATCCTCGGGGATGTTTGAAAGATCCAGGAACGTTTTGAGAAGTTACAAATGGCTGGTTGTCAATGACAACACCTGCCATGAGCAGTCTGCAGCTTCTCCTCTGCTATTTCCATCGTGCTTTACAAACGCATCTCACACGCGCATCCAAGTGACAAACTTGCACACATGAACAAGAGAAGGAGATGGAACCTCCTCGTGTTGGCTGGGGAGCTCACTGCCATGGTGACCTACTTACTCACAGCTCCCCTTCCTCCCAAATCTCTCTGCAGACTGGAATTAAATCCTGCTCTTTGTTTTCCAGAGGCCCCTCGTGATGACCTGCCACTGACCATTTACATAATGCACCTTTGTCCACAGGGAGTTTAACCTGAGTGTGCTGCACCATCAGGGACACAACTTCCAGTAACTGCTGGTGGATGAGAATCTCTSCGTTTTATCCTCTTATACGACAGCTTTATTCTCTTCCTGCTGCCACTTGTGATACCTGAAAAGCTTCTCTCCTCTGCTCACTGTCCCTAAAGTACGCTGGAGGCGATGGGATAAAGAACAAAGCTGGATTTGCAGAAAATAATCCATCTCAGTATATTACCCTTTACTAACAGAGTGATTGTTGTGGCAGGAAAATAAACACAGCCAGTGTGCTGYGGAAGAAGAATACTGAGGAGGAATGACCAAAAAGAACAAAGAAGGAAGTCTGGGACAAGATTTTTTTCCAGGATGATGGCACTTAAAAAAAACATGGATGGATTCAAAGGGATTTTTTTTTTCCAAAAGTCTGTGAGATTTTGTTTGAGAACAAGCACAAAATAGAAGATGCTTCTAAATGATGCAAAAGAACAGTTTTGGTTAACTTGTTAGGGACCACAATGATTAAAAAACGTGTTGCTTCTTTATGGAGTTAGCAAAGAACATCTCCTTCCAAACAAACAAAATTTGGGACTGCAAGAATTTTATTTGCTCTCCTGGCTCCCACTGAATGTTCTTCTCACGTAGCCAATGGAAATCCCTCAGCRCACAGAAAAAGTCTTGTGAAAACAGACTGTAGATGAGATTTAAACAAGGCCTCACCAGTGAGACATTTCCTCTCTCAACCACACAAGAATCCAAAGCACAGAGGGTCTAAACAGGGGCAGACAAAGGCAGTCAATGATCTTAAAAAATTAGTGTGAGGTAAAACACAGCTAAATAAAGAAAGGCCTATTAACTAATCAATCAACAACCGAAATCTAAAAGGCTGAACTTCTAAAAGACAGGAATTCGGAGTCAGCTGATGTGCGCTGAATAGAATGTTAATGGAAGCTTCATATTATTCATACTTGTATCACCAATTATCAAGGCTTTTAAAAGAGGATACGTTTGCCAGACAGCTCAGATCCAAATTTCAAGGGGATTCTCTGTAGAGCTTAGATGCCTAAACATCTTCTGAGGGTCTATGTGTATGTCTAAGGGTAATGAATAATTTTTATGGATTAACCACAACAACTCAAACTACAACGAGCAGATTTAACCAAGCACAAAAAACCCCGTGAAGGGCAAGTCTGACCTTGCTTCAACTTTGTGCAACTTCTCCATTTCTCACCACATCACCTGGGCTGTGCAGACAAAGAGGCTCCTCCTGGTTTATGCTGCCCTCAGTGAAACCACRCTGATGCCAAACAGACACTTCCAAATAATTTCTAGGATGAATCGCTAATATCCCTTTTTATGCTTCACCATTCCACCAACTCCTTAATAATCTCCTCTAAATGAGACGAAATTTCACAGCAGAAAGAAACATGTCACAAACCATTCATYCCTATTTTTGTATCTTCCAAAGAGGTTTGTAAGAGGATTCATTCATTTGTGTCTCTTACTATGCCCAAGTGAGTTCCTTTTCAAATGTGAACCCARTATTGCATTCGGTTTTCTAGGCTAAATGCAAATGCATCTTTCTAACAAAAATGTAGAAGAGCATCTAGACCCAGAGGAACATTTCTTTTCACTCGGAAAGTCAGTCAGAAGAGCAACAGGAAGAAAACCAGCCAAAGTACTGCAGGAACCAACTTCAAAGGAGTCCCCTAACAAGGCACAGTGACACCAACAGCACGAGAATAAACGACTGGCAGAAGGAAATCCACGGAGCTGGACGACAGGCGTGGGTCACAAATGATGGATGGGTCCCTGTCTCCAGCAGTGGGATTGAGTCAACGTGATGAATGTTCACACGCAGACGACTCTTCTCTGCACCACACTCCGTCCCTTTGCCCACCCTCTGCCAACAAAACCCCCGGAGAGGCCCCAGAAACCAACGYTGGCCAACGTTGGGAGCTTTCCCAAGCAGCCCAGCCTAGCAGAAGCAGCCTCTGGACGCCCTAACGCTCGGTGGTGTGAAGGCTCTGAGCGCAGCCCCTCGCTGGGCGGTCCCAGGCGGCGATGGCTTTCCGTGGAGCGGCGCCGGCACCGACACCGCGTGCCGTGGCTACCGTTCAATGCCTGGGGGCTCTCGGGAAAGGCCTCACCTCTGGGTCCTGTAATGACAGGTCGATGGTGCTGTGTGAAAGCCGTTCCAAGGGAGGAGGTCTGCGAAGGCGAGGGACTGCTGAAACCAGACTTCTCTGACTTCTTTAATGTAGTTGGCGATGGCATTCCTGGCAAGAATGATTGATAAGTGCAATTTAATAATGCTAGGTCATGGAACGACAGCCTATGCATTGTGAAAGGGGGTGCAGAAGCAGCTAGACACACTTAAAGGACAAATGAAAYGCAACACAACAGCAAGCTGAAAGCTCACTTTTATTTGTGGGTGGTTTTTTTTTGGTTTTTTTTTTTGAAGCAGAAGCAGCCATGGTTTGCTCTGAGCCACRAGGACTAAAAGGCAGCCATATTTTTCTTATGAATCTGAAAGATGGAAAAGATGCGGCTTATTATTGCTGCTGAAACCTACTCTGCTTTATTTTTAGAAATCTGTAATAGCTGGAGCATTTGGATTTTTACAGTTTTTTTATGAGTTCTGTCTTTCACTCCTTGGTTTAGTAGATTATTGCAAGTGGATCTTTTAAATGTGCCGCACGACTCAAGGCACAACTCGAGAATGGAGTTCTCTGAGTTCAAACTCTGCCTCCCCTTACTCTCTTGACTTCAAAGGTATTTGAAAGTTACATGTTTAAGTGGTTCCCTTTTGCTTTCAATCTTTTTTTTTTTTAAAGGGTGAATGGTATTTGGGTCTCAATATTAGAAGCCGCACTGGAATTATTTCAGAGTGGTTATAATGCCCTTGGACTGTATCAAAGGCTTCCAGTGGAAATCAGAGTTGAGTTGTCACTGGGTGAAGCCTCTGCCATGGACAGGCAGAAATGGGGTGGTGATGATCTGACTGGTTTGGCACAAAGGGTAAAACTCCTGTTGATGCCATGTCAGGGCTGTTGCATAAAAAAAATTAATGGAATAAATATATTGCAACAGGTTTTTAAAACCAGAGCCTTTTCTCTAGATGGTAGATGCTTGGATGAAAGAATTTCACAGTATATAAATTRAAAGAATGCATCTTTGTCTGTATTAGTTTATATTTTTGCAGTTCTAGATGTATCTGGGTGTTCTGATTATCAGAATGGATCCTGAAATCTTAAAATTTCCAGTATATGCAGCYCATCAGGCATTCTGCATATCCGTAGGGGTATAGCAAGACAAAGGTTGAGATTTCAGGTGGAGAAGAAAAAATATCAGGTAATGTGCAAGCTGGACTTCCATTAGCAAAGTCATTCAATTTTATTTCCATCTCTGTATTTTATAGTATTTAATTGTTAAAAAAGTAAAGAGAGAGGCCTGGACAAGATTATCTCTGGGCTATATTATTAACTTTATATTTAATAAGACTGGTTTTATAGTCCCTGGGATGTTGATTGCARTATGCAGGAGGAGCCTTCTTGTACTTTATACTCTGCACTGCTGGGTCTTAATGGTTTCAGGGAGGCTTTGCAGTTTGTATTTCTGTAAGTTAAATAAAGGAAGGGAATGGTTTCAGTTCCAGTGTTGTACTTGCAGCTTTCTGCCTCGAAACTTGTTTGCTGCAGGGTTTGCTGCTGTGGTGGCTTTTCCCCCATAGCAGGAAAGGTTACAGACTTAACCTTTTAAAAATCAAAGTTTAGAAGTGACTATGGTGCAAGAAAAATATTGGGCTGGGGATTTTTGGTTGGGTGTTTTTGTTTTTTTTTTTTTATATATTGGTCTTAAGGACTTTGGAGTAGGAACAAAAGCAAAGATTGGTTCATTTTGGGGAGAAGAGGGGAAAAGGAGATTGAACGGAGGTGTTTCAATAAAATATTCCCATGCAGCCTGCTGAAATTCTGCTGCAATGGGAYGTAACTTGAGTTATGGAATGTCCATATTCAGGACAAGGACACTCCAAGGAATTAACGGGGCTGTTGACCCAGATTCCCCTGTGATGGAAGAACTGGGAATGGAAACACCAAAGGAGTGGCAACTCCGGCCCTGAGTGCAAAATATTGTGGACAGTCCAAGCAACTTTAATGCTCAGGGAAGGGAACAGTAAAATCTGGGAGCTTGGGAGCTCAGGAGTTCCCTGCTTTCCCTGGCTACAAACCCTCTTTGGGTTATGGGGACGATAATAAAGCTTTCTAAAAAAAATGAAACAGCTTTTCTTTTGCCCCTGTGTTAAAAAGAAAAACAAAAACCAACCCTGCACGATTCATCTCTGAACCACGGCAGGGAGAAGGGGCAGAGGCAGTGGAATGGTTTAAAGCTGCAGCACTTTGGTGTGATTGTTCCAAACACTGGAACTTGAGGAGCTACAAAGGAGCTGAGGAATGACCTTGAGGGTGGCAATGCTGAGCAGTGTCATGTTCATATGGGGATGGGTTTTATAAGGTCGAGGCAGAGGCTTTCATGTGAAAATAGAGATTTTGATGTAACCCCRTGCAGGGAAATTGAGTAGAAAAACAAACTGAAGCGCCGATAATTGGTCGCTACTCTTGCTCTATTTGTTTGTTATCRTTCTGATTGCCATTATTATCACAAGTTTGGTTCATTTATTTATTTTTTTCCGGGGTATTTTGAAATGTATTGGTTTGGAACAGTCCAACTATACCATGTTTTTGTTTTGTTTGGGGTTTGTAATGACACATTTTATTTTGAGTGATCACATCCATCAGATCTCAAGAAAAAAAAAATGGCTGCTTCCTAGTTCAGAAGAATATGCAAACAGGAGCTTAATTACATCACTTAATATTGACCAAGAGAAAGAAGAAGATGAGCTTGCCAGCTCATTTCCAAAGCATGTTTTGTCCTTTAAGAGGGGAGGGTATGACAGAAAGTTAGGCAGTGCAAAGCAATTAGCATCATTCACATTTTATGTTGCGCTAGCATGGTGCTCTAGCAGCAAAATTCAAACATTCTTTGAATGGGTTAATAAAAGAAGAAATACAGTCGGCATGCAAGAAAAAGGTTTCCAAGAACAAGCCAAAATATGTCCCATTCTTCTAAATTTATCACAGCCATGTCACATTATCCTTGAGACTGCCAGGAATGTCAATTTTTTTGCAATTTAAAAAAAATATCTCATTTAGCACCATATGTTTGGTTAATGTGCCTGATATATCCTGCGTATTCTTTAGTCCATCCATTTCTAATACTCATTTTCTCTCTCTTTTTTTTTTTTCCTCCCCTTGCTAAGCCATATGTTACAATGCTGGTCATTCTATCGAAGCTCCTTTTGGGAGCTGAGATCGAGGGAGCTCTGCTTTAATCTCCCAGAAAAACTTTTGAATTCTACAAAGTCTCACTCAGGTGAGCAGTCTCAACACTTGAGTTAGCTGTAGGTGCCACAAAAAYCAGGCCACCTATGAGGTGGCACAGTATACGTTAACCACGAGGAAGGAACTTAAAGGCAGGTGGCTAAATACAGAGTTAGGTGTTTAATTTTTGGCACCCACGTTTGAGACTCTGGGCTGGTTTTTAAGGGTCTTCTGTTCCACACCTAATGAGTTTTAACACATTTAGCGGCCCCCAGCCCGCAGGGCCCCTCCTGTGCTGCTCAGGGATGCAGGAAATTAAAAAGTTAAGGCTGAAGGTGGCTYGGGCAGAGCTGGGGATGCATCCCGGGAGGATGCTGCTGCCTTGCACGGCTTTCCTCCGCATTGGTCCCRGGAGCCAGCGATTACTGGGGACCACTGCACTGAAAATCAGGTTTCAGCATTTCCCAGGACCCCAAGGAAAGGGGCAGTGCCAGCTCTAAGGACACCTCTGAGTCCCTGCTCTCCTCTGTCTGCTCTCTGGTGCGGGGCAGCGACAAATTAGAAAATCCCCCAGCCCGTCTCAGCTGCGCTGGCCGGTGGAGAGGGAACGGAGCCAAGGATCCTCCCCGCTCCCTGCCTCTCTGCATCCATCTGCTCCGAGCAAGGGATAAACAAGAACAGCCAGAACACAACGGCTGGGTAACCCAGGTGGGGGTTAAAAGTGTTCCTCGCTATTCTGGGGGTAGGACTCTTGTCCAAATCACAGCCACACCTGGCGCTTTTAGGAAATGCGGCTTTCAGGATCCGGGTCTGAGTCTCCTCTGAATGTTATTTAGAGCGTGAGAGAAGAAAATCAGACTTTGTCTATTTCTGTCTYATGGCAGCTTTTAACTACAGAATAAATGGAGAAGTTAATTACTAAATAAAAAGAGAAAATAAAGGGGATTTGTGGCATAAAACGCAGATGGAAGCCTGAGTGGGTGCGCTACTTTAACTTASTGTGCTTGTGTTCATGTGATTCTGCATGTGTGCCAAACATACATGGTCTGAGCCTGCTCCCATTAACACAAATCTGCTTTTTTCACTGGACAGAGGGAACCTGATCAAAGACCATGATGGTGCTAAATGGAACAAGATGCGCGCTTTGGTATTTTTTTTTTTTTTCCAAAAGGAAATATTAATTTGACATTGGTTTTTTCAGCCGAGAAGAATTTTMATTGCGGTACACAATAAGCAGAAAATTCAGACAACAATAATCTTGAAACTGTTAGCAGCATTATGTTTCTATCAAGGAATTTGTGCGCCTTTTCAACATTAGAGCTTTCTGAATTTTCATTAATTTGGCGTTTCCCTGAACACACGAGTTATTTTGTTCATTCCACATCATGCATCACACCCTTCTGCTCAATGCATAATGCAAGCGCAAATGGGATCCTCGTCCTTGGGAGACTCTGGTTACTGGAGCCATTGGATGTCGAAGTCCCGCAGAAAGACTTTCCAAAACTCTGCACTTCGCAAACCTCCAGCCCAAGTTTAATCAGTGAGTGCACGGGAAAACTTGGTGTTCCTCATCTTCTAAGGGGCACTGGAGCACTGTGGTGGGTTTAATTCCTCTACCTCCTCATGTTTGCCAGCACTAGAAACGCACCACATGAGAGTCTTCCTTGGGCACAGCTAAAAGGTCTTCGAATGTTCATGTGTGAGGCTGATATATATTTAAATGGACCAGAAAATGATGCGTGAGGAYTGGATGCACAAATCCTTCCCAGAACAAACAAATATCTCTTTGCACCCGCCACGTGCCTTTCTAAAAAACCAGGGTTAACTTTGGCAGAGTGAACGGAGTCACGGCAAGAGCAGAACAAGCCCCCTTCTCTCCAAACCTACACCTCTAAATCCATCCAATTTCACTTGATTAATTACAAACATCAACCCTGCCTGCACACATCTCACACAACAACTCCATCTCTTGTTAGCTACACTGGCAGGCCAGCTCGTGCTCATCTCCAAAGACCACCTCTGGATAATCACCCCAATATTCCCAGCAACTCTCTGCCACTAGACTCGATGGAGATTGCACAACAAAAGCTCTGAGTGAAACATGGTCTGGATCCTCCTTCCCAAGGCACACTAGGAAAAGGAACCACGGAAGCTCAGKTATTACCAGGTGGACCATGAACTCRACAACATGCAGAACAAATAGATGATGCAGAAAAACAAATCAGCTGTTGAAGAAAAAAAAAACCTGATATATGGGAAGCATTTTTCAAAGAATTTTCATCCTTCTGTGTGAATTACTCCAGCAATTCCACTGAAATCAGTACCAACAGAAATGCTGATCAGCTGCTATATTTTTTTCTCCCCCAATTCCTGGGGAATGGAATTCTTAATTTCAAGCTTCTTGAAATGTTGACGGCTACGCTCCTGCCAGTCACAACGAGCCTGTTCTATTTAGTGCTGAGCAAACTTTGTCATCAGCCGAGATACGATCGCGCTGACTGCCATCCATCAGTTTACTGTATTAATTGCTCCAGTATACACAAAATACAACACAGATGGAAATTCACTCATCCTAATGAAGTGCTCTTTAGTTTCCACGTTCTGAACGGGTACTGGCTCCCCTGGTTGCAGCCGGAGTTGCCGTGATCACTGATTAACTACCTGCCAGCAGAGCACCTCGCTTCACAGGACTAAATCCAGCTTAATAAACGGTGATTTTTTTTATTTTTTTTTTTTTTACAGAAGAAAAAATGAAAGCTCCCCCTCTATCCACTTATCAAACTACTGCATATGCATCACCAACACACACATCCAGTTTCCTCAGAACTCGACATCTGACAGATCATCGGGAAAACAGAGCTAATCTATCCGTACCCATCAACATCGTATCATAGGTGACTGCCAGATACTTAAGAAGCCATCCAAAAGAAATGTCACAACTCTTTTTCAAGGCACTACAAAAGGAATGTTCCAAATAAAATAAAGCAAATGCACGTACGAGTAAATGAGCCAAAGAACTTAATAAAAAGAGATTGATTAAAATGAGGACCAGAATGTTCAAAAAGGACTGAGAGAGAGAGAGGTGCCAAAGGCGCATTAAATGGATTCAATGGCTTTAGGTTTTAAATRCTTTTGGACTCCTCAGCAATTTTTAGCCAAAAATGATAATTCAAGTTAGAATCGAAATTCTGATGTCACTTAGGGAAGAAGAAGGTTGAAATTTCTCCTTTGCAAATGAGCAAATGAGCACCGATCCATTTGTGAAAGAGAAATCTCAGTTTGTAGTGATGGACAACCTTGCCTACAGAATTTTAAAGCCGAGCACTATAATATTCACAATTATTTTAAAATCTTACCCCATGAAAGTCTGCCTAAATTGTTTGGTACAATGTTCTTGTAGAGTGTATTACCTCRTCTGTATCTGTGTTTACAGCATCATCTGGATTGTTTTAGATCATTTGARTGAGGCTTCATTCCTGCTCTGCCACCCAAGCAGTTCTTTCAATAACTAATAAACTAGTACTCAACACCTTACCAATTCCTTCAAAACATAATTTTGTGAGTTACATTTTTAAAAACTTTAATAAGAGCAATAAACAGCAAGRTAACAGTTCAATTTTCCCTTTGAGTTAATGTCAGCTTCGGCATCATTTTCCATTGTATAAATATATATTGCAAGAAGAACAAAAACAAAAAATAAATTTCTAATGACGTCTTTAGACATCTCGTCTAAAATTCATGACTGCATTTGTTTCATTTCAAATGCTACTTGAGAGTTTTTCAGCACACTTGGCAGATTAGATATAGCAGCAGGGACAAACTGCAGCCATCCATAGGAGAATATACCTTTATGTGGGTGCTTTGGGGATGGAACATCTATAGCTGCAAGGCAAAAAATGCCATCATAAATTTGGATGGCATTTACAAAGCCCTCTAAAAAGTCTTTGCATATGATTATAGCTGAGGTATGATATTTTTGCAAGTAAAAGACCCAGAATAGATTTATGTTTCAACTATATCTTCCTGAGATGCATATGGATCTTAAATTGCAAGTGATACGAAAGGGGATTTTAGTAACTGAAGAGGATGGAGTCAAAAATTTTTTTTGGGGATTTTATTTATTTTTTTATTTATTTTCCAAAAAAAATCATTTGCTCATTATCTGGATGTCATCAAACCATCATTGGCTACCCAGGCTATATATAACAATGATGGCTGCTGAACGCCCCAGGCATGGGATGGAGATGGGTAAATATGCAGATTTTTTCGACTTGTGACCTCAGTTACTGCACGGTAATGTTTTCAAATGACTTTTATGATGACAAGACTAGGTTTGGTGCTAATATTGGTTTTGAAGATTTAATCGGTGTACACTGCCATTGAACATGTGCTTTAATTAACAAAAGAGCTGTGGCCAGGATTGAAAACAGCCCAGGTGATTTACCACGGACTGTAAAGCCACCTGATTTTCTGCACAATTTGAGGTGAAGAGTTTATAGGTTATTCCAAAGGAAGAACGRGCTGCAAGCTGGATTCGTGTGCGCCGTACCCAGGGATTTATAATTTGGCAGGTCAGGAGTGCACTCATGGAACTGTGATGTTTTGCTGTCCAGTGGTTCCTGGTGTTTTTACCCTCTGGCTGCCTGGGTTTGACAGCCATGGGACTGAACACCCACAACACCAGAAATAATTCCCAGCTGCCCTACAGCTGCTGTGCTTTTTCCTGGGAATGTCCATTTCCAGCCTGGAATATCACTGGGCACCAGCAGCTCCCAGGCAGAATGAGACTGACAGAGCATCCCAGAAGGTGACAGCAGACAGGTGACAGCACACAGGTGACATCAGCCTCCCCTGTCTGCATCCCCATCCCTTTTAGGATTCCCTGGGGGAAGGCAGAGCACGGCTCTTTGGCTTTGGGATGATTTCCAGGAGAGCCCTGCTGCTCTGCAGCTCTGCTCCTGGGAGCTGCCCAGCCCCTCTGTCACCCTCTCAGCAGGTGACAACACCCCTGACAGAGAGGCTGAGGGCTCCCAGGGAAAATCCCCCTGCAAATTCCACAAAAACAGGCAGGGCAAAGGGCAGAGGTGACGTGTGAGTGCTCCCTCCAGCGCTGGCACTCCAGCAAAGTGCTTGGCACCAGCTCTGTCCTTACTAGACACAGGAGAATCCACACCTGGGACATCCCCCCCACAACCAACACAAAAAAAAAAAAAAATCAAAAAAAATCTGTGCACCGAGAACAAGAGCATTGGCATTGTTTGAATAAGCACACCCACCATGAAGTGCTCCGCGGTGTTCGGGGTTTCTTAGATATCCTGATTTTATAAAAAGAAAGTAAAAGAAGAAAAAAGAAACAAGGTGAGAGAGAACACTATCATATTTCGTAGCAAGCAGGATACTGTGTGAAATCTTGGCCCAGTGAAGTGATAAAGGGGAAGCTTTCAGTTTGCTTGAGGGAAAACTTAGGAGCAAATAGCGAAATTACCAAAATACCACATTGCAGAAAATGGGTGCGTTTAGGTTCAATTAAGCTGTAAAAAGGAAAATGGCACTTTAGCTTACAAAAACCCAGGGACACAGGGAGCTATCAGAGGCAACTTTACAAGATTTGTGTGCGTGAGGATGCTGCTTCACTGGACCAAGAAAGCTACAGTATGGGACAGGATTTTTCTTTCATCAGACACTTTTGCTAGATAGCTTTGTCCAAACCTCAGAAACTGCTGCTSTGGCATTATGAAATAATCCTACATAACTCGATCTCATGAGCTTAGGAACACAGAAAAACAGCCATGCCAAATCAGATTACAGGGATCCACCTAGTCCAGAGTCCTCTCCCTGACAGTGGGAACTAATGGACGCCTAGAAAAGAGTGCAAGACCAGGGAAAGCAWACAGTGATAATTCTCCAAAACACTCTCCCAACCATTTGTCATTCAAGGACTTGTAGGACAAAGTTGGTATCGTTCTATCGAAGCTGCTCRAATCCAAATGCAGATTTACACCCCACCCTCCTCCCCTTTTTTTTTTTTAATTTTATTTATTTTTTTTTTATTTCTACCCCCATGAGATTTCTACCAGTCACACAGAAAAGTTTTCACAGTTTGGTGCTGGCAAGTCCAGCGTTCTTGCCACTAACTCAGAATGAGCTAACAGCTTTCAAGYCCAATGATGTTATGTGTATAAGAGCATCCAACACTTTTTCCTACGTAAAAAAGTGACGTGTGCTGAGGTGCTCTGAGTGTCAATACTTTGGGAGATTTGAGTATTTTAATAATTTTTTTTTTTCAAAAAAAAAAGGCAAGAATCTGGCTGTAAATTGATATTAACATTTTTTCAGTATATGTGTAAAACACATGTTTCAGAAGAATAGAAGAGAGAAACTGTCACTCACTGGGAAGCTTTAGAGCTATCTGGCTCCCTGGGAAACTGCATGCAACTATTCTGGTGTCCAAGGGTTTGACCAGTGAGTTTCCTCTTCCTGCAAAGAATGAATGCAGAAGTAATAGAGAGTCTGAGGGGGAAGATTTTAGCAAATGGCTAAAAAAGATAATCCTATTCTGCCCACTGCAGCAGGTAGGAAGCAGGTGGTGGTGGTCGAAGAAATAGGGTGGGAGAGGGGGAGATTTTAGAAAGTTTAAATTTTCTAATCGAATCGGTGCCTACACGTGAATTTTTTACTTCATTTGTTAAAAGAATCAGTAAAATCAGGGGTCTTAAAAAAAAAGACTTATCGTTACATTTTTGATGGCATATTGACTTTGTAAGAGTCTACAGGCAGGAGTGATATATCAGGGAGTCCCTATAACTTTACTTAAAGCAAAAATTAGAAAGTGATCGAAAAGTTTTATAGAGGAGAGCAGAAACATAATTTTAAGCCTCTTAAAATTGCCTGAACTGTGAAATCAAGTAATGAACACTAGAAAAGGATCTGTCAGCTGGAATCAGAGCTCAGACTAGTCAGCATTTTCTTCCTAAACCTTATTATGGCAAAGATTTTTCATCTCTGCACTCTGTTCAGCCCAACAAATAAACCGACTTGACCTCCACCTGTTACCCGGTGAAGTTGGCTGTCATCTCTGACTAAACCCTTTTCTTTCCTTTCAAAGCCCTCGGCACCACTGAGAAGGTGGGAAGACACAGCTGTGCACTGACTCAAATTGATACCAGCTCATAACCAGACAGCGTTTCACAGTACAAATTACAAGCGACACAGGAGAGGGGAGAAAAGTGTAAAAAAAAAAAAAAAATGTAGTGCCAACGAATTCTGGAAGGGGGCAACATTTTTTTCATCCATTAAACAATGAGATTTTCATAAAAATAAGTTATTTTTGGGTTGTTTTTTTTTTTTTCTTTTTGTGTGTGATTTTATGGACTAACGTTGGAGGCAAGAAACATTTTGCTCGTGCCACAACAACGGACCTGCGCCAGCACCACGGAGGAAGGGCTGCAGAGCGAAATGGAAGCTTTTTTGTGCTTCCATTACGTGTGAAATTTTATATTTCATAAGTTGAGCGCATCAAACTGCTTCAAAGAGGTTCAGCTCCAGCTGCAGGTAGGTTCCCAGACTCAGGAATGAGTTGCAGCTATAGATTGAGTAAAAAGAATTCAATATTGTGGAACACGGGACAGCGAGGAATGAGCCACGAGGAAACCCGTGTGGCTGCTGCAGTCGTTCCTTCAAATATATCACCGTGGCAAAACCATGTGAGAAGCCTCCCAGTACAAAGGCRTATCAGAAAAAGCCGTTTCATATGAAGTTGGACTTCTCTGGGTGATTAATGCTGCGTTCAACAAAGGAGACAGTGTCTGTCTAATTACATTAAATACTTATCTTCTAGGGATTGGCAGGGTGTTTCTGCTCAATGTCACTTTTCATGACAATGTAATGATAGATCCGTTTACTTACCAGTGCCATTAGCAAAAATTGTACTGTTTTCTCAACTGCCCTCGTATCGCGAAAATATTTGATTAACATACTGCAGCTTATCTAATACTCTAAGCAACATATTCTGCATAGTTTTCTCTCTATTAAAAGAACAAGATTACAGCTTGTAAAATTTTCATTGCACTCACACAGAAATAAATGAATAATGTGTGATAATAGTTCAAGTGTCTTACTGGTTCACAGAACAGGTTTATTTGATTTAAAATATTAACTTGTACTTAAAATATTAAGATTTTGGGGGAAACAAGCAAATAAACAAAGTCAGTACTCTGAGGCACTACTTCTCATCCAGGCTTTAGTTATTATTTCCTTTTCATTTCAGCACATCTTTTGAAACTTTTAATACCTTAGGGGAGGAAAAAAAAGAAAAGAAAAAAAAAGAAAAAAAGCTTTCATTCCTTTGCTGAAAAATAGATATGGCCATCTCCCAAGTCTTTAAAATTCACCACATCGTGAACTGACTCTTCGGAGTCATGCTACTGTGCCAACATCCAGCAAACAATAACCCTCTGGAAGAATGCACCCGGCCAAGGCAGTTTATATAGTAACAAGATAATTTCATAAACTTATATTGAAGAGCGAGGGCTGTGATGTAACATTCTAGCAGTATATATCAGCTACCTGATATTTACTAACAAGGTTAAACTCCTATCTGTTTGTCTCAGCACTCTTCATAATTCACTTTTTAATGGATGGACAGGAAAAGTCAGCAGCGTGTGGCACGGATCATTTCTGAAATAGGACAAGACAGCTCGCGGCAGAGAAGCTGCTCCAAAAACACCCTTCCCGTTCCCCCAAAATCACGTCAAGCCTCTGCTTGGCAACCCCAATGCTTCGACCCTACTCATGAATCCTTTGGGAAGGGGTGGGTTTGTGTTTCCATTTCTAAATAAAAATGGAAAGCGAAGGGTCCCGAGGAAAAGGTGCCCCCGTGATGGGATTGCGCACGGAGCATTGGCTTTGGGATCCTCAGGACGGCGTTCCCAGGCAGGAGGAGGCACGTGGGGATGCTTTCCCCTCATCAGGATTGAGGAAAAAGGMCCCATTTTGTGGCAGCTCCTCGCAAAATGGCAGCGAGGACGCGCCCAGATCGCCTGGCGCCAGCACGGCACCGTCGACCAAAAACCGCCTCGAAATCCCAAAACCGCCTCGAAAATCCCCAAAACCGCCTCAAAAATCCCTCGCGAGTGACTCTCGCGGCGAGAGGATGACACCCCAGCCAACTGCCACATGCGACTCTCCAAATTAATAATGGATTTAGGATATTCATTCCCCGGGCTGCGAGGGCTCGGGGTGTGTCTGCAATTATCGGGATATAAGTCTGACACGCATTATCCTCCGATCAATGTCGTTCCCCTCGGTAGCCAACAGATTATCAGCAGCTTTGTGATATTCCAGGTGTCAAGGAAGAATTAAAAGCCGCAACAATCGCCCGAACAAAGGGACAAAAGATGGGATACGTGTTTCTGAGCCCTGCATATCAATTTAATATGTGCAGCTGACAATGATGCAAATGTCCTCGGGAGAGAGGCAGCGAGATCCGTGCCCAAACATACACACACCACTGTCAGCAAGATGGCAGGGAACAGAAGCAGTAGGATTCCCAGCCCAGGACACATGCCTCAGCAGGCAGAGCAACCCAACGAAACAATCCTCTGGTTGGGGAGAATTTTGGAAGCACCTGATTATGGAAAAGGGCCCTAAACAAGCCAGATGGTACTTTTAGCTGGCAGCAGAAAGTAGGAGACAGCCAAAAACATTACAGCATTTCCCCAAGAGGCCAGCAAATCGATTTTTAACCATTCTTTTTTTTAAAGTGGCGCTGTGGATGTGATAAAATAATGTTTCGGTGCCTTTTTAAAATGGCTAATTTTGCGAATAACACGCTTAAGGAGGACACAACTGGAAGAGAGGAGAAAGCAATGGGTTTTGACTTTCCCAGGGTGGTTGTATATTTGACATCAAGTTTCTATTCAGTCTCTGCCACTGTTTGCTCAGAATTAAGTGCCGGTTTTTGTTCAGGGTTTTTCCACGTAACATTAAAGAGAAAAATCCAGCAAAAGCAGAGAAATAGCCCTGTAAAATCACCATAGCCCAACAGTTCACAGGGCATGGGAGAAATGTGGTTAGGAAGCCTGATTCGTCCTCTTTAAACCTTTCCCCAAAAAATTATTTGGTTTCTAGATGATCATTTTTTAACAGAGGACAAACAATTTCTTAAATACTCACAAGGAGCCATTTGCTGGGGGATAAAATGCAGCTTTTTGGGGGAATCTTCTAATTTTYAAAACCTCCAGAATTTGCAATTCTGCCTGGATGACAGGGGTTTTCTCAGGGATCAGGTGGATGTCAAAGGCCAAACCTTGCCTTTGGCAGGCAGAAGCAGCTCAGGTTTTGTGTGGCCAAGGGATTTTCACTCCAGGATGGAGGACAGGGGTGGATTTTAGGGACTGAGAGGGCAGAGCAAGGCAGAGGAACCGAGTGGGAATGAGCATCAATCACCCTTTGACTCAAAGCTGCACCTCACACTCAGGGCTGGCCACGCTCCGAGCAAGGGCCAGGATGATGCTTCACTTCCATTTGCTGGGATTTTGGTTAAAAGGAAAAGCAARCCCCAGGACAGGGTTAAACCTGGACTAGATCCAAAGTGCTTTCTCCTGTTCAGAGCAAGGTGGTGCATTAGTGTGCTGCATCATGGATAATACTCCTGGAGACAAACGTGGGCTGCTGCAATAAAACACTGAACGCGAAAGGAGATAATCCATACATTAATATATTTTAAAATCTTGTTGATTGTAAATCCTTTTTTTTTTAAATAAAAGTATTTCCCTCCTAGAGGTGGTACCTAAGACTTTGCCTCCAGCCCTTGCTGATATAAAATAGCCCCTTTTTTTCCAGAATGCTGCTCTTGGGGCTGAGAACTGCAGGTACTACCTCACTCATCTGGCTTTTGGGGGTTCAAAGATCTGCACACAAGTCCCATYGAGGCAGATGAAGGCTATGCACAAAACAGTAAAACAGCCTATGATTTCCCAGCTAATTTTAGCAAGAGGATCTCTTATGTTATGTTTTTTGGTGTTTATCACACCAGAAATAGCAAGGGAGGAGCAGAAAGGATGATCTCTCTGTGCTGGAGCAGTGTGGACAAGAAGAGCTGGAGGATGCTGTGGATCTCTGCTCTACCCTGAGCAAGGTGGAACCAGAACAGAGCTCTGGAGCAGTGCTAGATGAACACACTGCTGAGAGTGGAGATACTTTGGAGCTGGAAATGGAAAGGATTTAAACATCTCTCCTTGTTTAGGCTCTCTGTGGGGTCACTGCATTCACAGAGCGATCTCTGGGTGCGAGTCACAGAACACCCCCTGACATTCCTGCAGGTCAAAGATGGCTCTGCAACCACTCAGGCAAATTGTTACCTGAGCTAACAGGCTGCTGGATGGATTTCTGTGCTTCTCTCTGCTCGCTGACTGCTGTGGTCAAAGCGTTGGGGCAGCACTTAACTCGGAGCAAAGTAAAGAAAGTAACCGGGGGAT